AACCCATGTAAACAAGTCTAGTGTATTCATTCTGGGATGTGTGTGATCATCCACAAGGTGAGGCAAGGACATGAGTAGCTTCTGGCTGGGCAACCCATTAGTGAAAAACCTTGGAGGACATGAGTAGCTTGGAACATTGTGGTTCCTCGTGAAAAACCTCACAATCTATGCTCGGGCCAGGGGTAGATTGGGCACTAAATGTTATGGGATATGCATTTAGTGGAAAATCCATCTGAAATAGGTTGGGACTGGATGTAGGAGGATTACACCACCTCTGAACTAGGATATATCTTGTGTACCTATTTACATTCAGCACCCAACACATACTTCAGTTCTCATTCACCTTCATGCTATCCCAAAGGCTTGCATATTAACTGACCAGAAGACTCCCTAAAGTTTTATGTGAACCAAAAACTCCTTACCTACGCACTACAAAGAGATCTATGACAATATGTCTAAATCCTTCACACAAAAAATGTTCTGTCCACCCATCTCTGTTACAACTAAAAGAGTCATAACCTTTGTTCCTATAAAGTGTCACACTCTTGAGGTCAAGACTTCCGTTGTATGTTTCAATGTCTCCCAAAAGATATTGGAACACATTCTGTTAGAGGAAAAAGGGTTGAAAAGAAAAGATTTTTAGAAGTGTATTCACCCCCCCCCCCCCCCCTCTAGGCTTCTACCTCACTTGGGACCATCACAGTTAACAAAACCCACTACTATCAATCTGCTAACTCAACCGACTATAAGTTAAAACAGCCAACCACTAATTGTCAATCACTCGTGCATGTAGACATTTTTAGTCATCCACTTTTCATGACAAAATAACAATAGAGTGACTCAAATTGCTTATTTCACAATACTTATGAGACTAAATGTAACAAATTCCAAAGTCAAGAATTAAAAGTATCTCATTCACAAAAAAATGATGAATCTATTTCCGGAGCTTTATTTTTTAGCAGTTTGTCGTCTGAGCTTTTTCACCGATTTTCTTTTACCAATTGGATAAACCATTTTTTTACCAATTCAGTTATTTGGCCTATTGTGTATCAATTATTTAATTTACAATTACTTTGTATAATAGTAATATTATTCTCAAAGAGCAATCAACTTTATGATCATTGATCATTTCATTTTAACATCATAAACCAAGGTAACACAGTCAAATAAGAGTCTACCCGGTAACACTGAAATCGACTGAATCGACTGATTCTGTTGAAACTTAAGAAGTTCCGACTGAAGTTGCTGTATTGGTTGATTCTGCTGATTTATGAAAAATTATACCTAAAATATATTTTACTTATAAAATAAAGAAAAAGTTAAATGAAAAACAGCTTAAACTAACGAATCTACAGTAACTTCAATCAAACACAGTAACTGTAATGTTACCAATCTTACTTTTTCTTTTTATTATACTCCCTTCGTCCCTTAAAACTTTGTCAAATTTGATCGGCACATGGATTAATAAAGTGAAAACTATGCGGTTGATTTTAAGAGACTGAGGGAGTACAATTTAAAGGGCAAAATAAAAAGTTATGTTTTCTTGAATATATAGAGTTTTTTTTCGGATTAATGTTAATTAAAAAAATATTTACAAAATTAGGATCGGTTTAAAACTATTTACCAAAATATTGTTGGGTCGACCAAAGTCGCCAAATGTAGTGGGGACTTTGAAATTGCCAACTGGTTGGGCGACTCTCTCCTGCTAACTATGCAGCACGCACCAATAGCATGAATAGAAAACAAAAGAGTATGGGGCCCATGATACAAAAAATCCTTTTTTTTAAAGGTCTATACCTTTTTCTTTTTTGCTCCACTTTTATAAAAAATATACCTATATTGGTGAACACAAATCACTCTTAATCTCTTACTTTATTTATACAAAGTGTTGATCAATATTGGTATATTTTTTATAAAAAGTGGAGCAAAAAAGAAAAAGTTATAGACCTTTAAAGAAAAAAGGGATTTTTGTATCATGGGCCCCATACTTGTTTGCTTTCTATTCATGCTATTGTTGCGTGCTGCATAGTTAGCAGGAGAGAGTCACCCAACCAGTTGACGACTTCAAAGTCGCCACTTCATTTGGGTACTTTGGCCTACCAAGGTTAGATGCAGCAGTATTTTATTAAATAGTTTTAACCGACCATAAATGAAGGGGATGTATTGTAAGTGGATTGTGGTGTATATTTTTTAATCCGTGAATTTCTAAAAAAGTCCACAGACTTTTAAATCCATTGACTTTTAATGCGCGGACTTTTAAAATGAATGACTTTTAAAATGAATGACTTCTATGGATTTCAACAAATCCATAGACTTTGACTTTGACTTATTTCAAATCCGATGAAACCAGATTTTGATAGACCAGACGAGGCTTCTAGAATTATAAAATGCACAAAGATCAAACATTCATCCTACTAGATCATTCATATTATAGTATATTAAGGCAAATAAAAAATACGTATTATGACAAATATAATAGCCAATGTCCTCTAAAAAATACGATGATGGAGTATATGGCCTAGGGACCCCCGACCCACAAACTCCTAATTCTCCAACACGGGCCCATCAAACCCGATGACCACACAAAGCCCAAAAAAGGCGGCCCAAGCATAAAGAAGCCCACAATGCACATGTGGATGCCTTCGGCCATATGGTCGAGGGCTCCAAATTATAGAAGACAACTTGATATGGACCTGCAAAGTTTCTGGGAAATTCTGACCGTAATTGTTAGGCTTTTGCTATTCTATGCCCTCGATTGTATATAGCCTTCGGCTATATGATCACCGGGTAGGCCTTCGGCAACAACACTCTCGGCGAAGATTCCTTTTAGAGACAGCCAACCACCGCATTCAATGCGGCGTCACGTCCAACCACCGCATTTAATGCGGTGCACATGCAAATGCCGGTGCCACCCCCGATTAAGGTGACCCTCAGCCATCAGATGTTTGACACGTGTCTCCACCTAGCATTTATGGCTGCTATAAATCGCAGCCCTTACTCCTCTTGTAAGGGATCCCGAGATCAGAATTGATTAATATATCTGACTCTCTCTCTTACTTATTGCTCTGACTTCTCTCTAAGTTATTTGCCGTAATAACCCTTCGGATAAGCCACACCCAGGTACACTATCCATCATATGACAAATAAAATATTCAAGTATAAGCATTAAACAACATAAAAAATGTCATCATTGCTCAAAATTGAACAAATGTCTTGTGCTATTGAACTATGGATCAAACCTATCCATTTTCTGCAACCGCCCACATTTGAGTAGCAAGATTCATTCTCCATTCGTTGGCTTTTGCTCTCCGTTGATCTTGTGTCTGAAAATCATCTCATTTAAAGTTATCCTCATTGTCGCTAGGTGGGTCTTCTGGGTCTGGAGGAAACTCATCAGATCAGCATTCACGCCGGAGAAAATTATGTACTCATGCATATGCCAAAACTAGTTCTGCTTGTGTTTTCCATTTGTTTCCTTATAACGCCATTAATATCACGTCATTCAAGTTTGGCACCTTCAACCATAACTTCAAGCAAAGTGTTGCTTTCTTCTATAGTCCAAGTCTTATAATCCTTCCATTTGGAATTACCTTGTGAATCTCCCATCTATATGATTGTGTCAAACAATAAAAGACCACTGCAAACTGATAAATTTAATAAATGTAAAAAGAGGTAAAAACAGTATGCTTGTTTCAAAGTATTACATAATGTGGGGAATAGGCCATAGTCATGTCTACGTAAGAAGCCCAACAATATGTAAATATATTCATTTTTTAACCAAAAGATGGTTGCATCTATGAAATAAATAGGCACCAAACGTTCAACCAAACAAATGTGACCAAGAGAAGAACCGATCAAATCTGCATAATTAATTTCAGGGGTGAGCAAAGATATCAGTCAAGAAATATCAAACATAGTAAGCAAACCTAATGATTAGTGTTGTGAGAAAGTTTAAAAATCAATTTGAAATAGCAAAGTAAAAATACTCTGTATAACGTAAGGGATAGGAGATCCAATTCTATCCCCTCTGCTTTCAAGCCAAGGAAGGGATAAGTCCGAATCAACGAACTCAAGTTGCGAGCAACTTTACTCATTTTATTAGGTCAAGTTGTAAGTGACTATTTGAATCACTAGTTTTTTGTATGATGGGGGTACTCATAATCGGAAAAGAAATCAACACTATAGGAAATTTAATTTGAATCCCACGAAATCACTATAGGAAATTCAATTCGAATCCCATGAAATCAAAACTATAGGAAATTCAATTTGAATCAGCACTATAATAAGCCCAGGAATTCTCAAAGGTTGCTGACTCTGATAGTGGGCATAGATTAGAAAAGCCAATTCATATAGGTAATTTTTTTCGGCAGAGTAGCGGAAAATATACAAGAGAAAGAATGGAAACCTGGAAGAAATTGGCTTCTTTGGTTGAGAGAAGAAAAAAAGGCCGCTACCAAGTCTGCGGAAATTTTGAAGGAGATTATAAGAAAAAAAGGAGAAAGAGTATTTATATTAAGGCTTTGAAAATCCACTGATATGAATCATTATCTAATTCCATGGGTTCCATAATTTTTTTCAATACATCTAAACTTTTATTCATTTTTAAAAGCTTGTACTGAATACGCTTGAACTTTGACAGATTTGTACTCACTCTTTAAAATCCTAATCCAATACGCTCAAATTTTTATTGAATTTTAAAAATCAATATTCAATACATCCCCATGGTAAATTCAATAGACTTTGGAATTCCAGACTTCTAAAATTCTACCAATAATTCTAGGTACAATACACCCCCTTGGTAAATATTTTTTTAATTAACCTTAATCTGGAAGTCTATCATCCCTGCTGTAGTCCTCCCTGGCGTCTCCCATTACCCCTTCTCCTCTTTGACATCTCAGAAGGCTAACAGAAGAGCTCCCTGGTATAGTGGTATCTGGCTATCTGCACGGCTTCAATCACATTAACTATCACCTACAGCCGATCGATGTCAGATTCGTCCGCATAACCACTCAAACCTTGATTGTGTTGTTTACTGGTCTAAACCAGAGAAGGTAAAAGTAATTATATGTACTAATTTTTCATCAATAACCTCTTGTCCACCTTTTCCTCCGTGTCTAATTTAGGTGTATAATGATAATCGAAGTGGATTCTGACTTATTGAAGGATTTCACTCCCCGTGTATATTCTGAACAAATATAACATGTTTATATTTTTTGTCAAAAAAGTTAAAATTATTCATACACACACTGTTAAGACTTCTTTAGAGATATTCAAGTATTTTGTGCTTTTGTATTTCTTGGTAAGACTACTTCGCTCTGCCGTCATTGTTCTTGCAAGACTCAAACTTTGTGTTATTATCCTTGCTGGACCTTCTTTTTATCATGGTATTTTGTTCCTTGAATTATTTCAGACACACACATGCATTATAAACACACGGGTGTATATATCTATGTATATGTACATAGATACATATTCATGTGCTATTTGTAGGCACGTTATTTGTGAATTTTTATTAATTTATATGTATAAATACATTCCATAAACTGAAGCCAGATATTGAATTGAATATTAGCGAAATGAGTAATCTAATACAGTAGTTGCTTTTTTGAAATTTTACATCAACAATCTTCAAGCCTTTAAGAACAAATTCAAAGGTATTTTCTTCTTGGCGAAGGACGTAAACTTAGGCATACATACAATTTGTAAATTTTATAGTTTTTTTTAATTCCAATGGTTCTTCAGTGGTGCTCATTTGGAAAAACTTTGCTACTATTTGTAGGGAAGTTTATGGTGTTTTTGTGCCTTAGCATTATAGTGATGTGATGTCATAGCTTAGCGCATGGCTCAAGAAGTTGCTGTGTGATACTCCGTTTCACATAGGATGGGCCCTTTTTTACATTTTGATTCATATGTTTTGTGGTTTTGATTTTCTACATAAGGTGTATTTATTCCCACTGAGTTCTGTAGGGTATATTTTTGATTCAATAGATTTGTTATTGGCAAATTGATTGTGCTGATGAGTTGCACAGTTCTCGGAAAATAGGTTAGTTATTGCCTCAGGCCGCAGTAAACACTGGCTGGTGCCACCTTAGAACTGGGTAAACCCCTTCATGGCTGTAACCGTCAAAGAAATATGAGGATGTATACCAACCTAAGATGAACCACCAACCATAATTAATAATTCAATAGGCTCAAACCAATAAGCCTATCCTTGTAGAATTAGAATATAGGACCTTGCGATCATCATATTCACTACCCTTTTTTATGGTTTTACTGTGAACAACTAATTTACCAAATATCTCTCTGTAAGTAGCTACATTTTACTCAGTTATGAAACAGTTCACACAATAAAATCACTAAAATGAAAAGGGGAATAATCTTTTTAGCTGGACAACAAACCAGGGACTGGTACATCCATACACGGATACACCATATGTTAAGTTATCACTAAAAAAAGGCGTAGCTGTGCAGCAATTCAACTGAGCTAAGCATAGCAAACATATCAACCAGTTTTTATTTTTGCCGGTTGACCATTCATCTTTTGCAGTTCAGACTACAGATTTCTCTCAAGCCTAAATTTTAATTTACATATACATTCTTCCGGCGTCGCTTTGTGTGTTTTGATGCCTTTTTTAAAAGGATATCATTTTGAAGCTAAGTCCAATGTGACATTGTTTCGGTGCTGTGTTAAAAAGAGCTCTGACTCAGCAATTCGTGGTTGTTCTTCAGAGCTTCTTCTGGTTGTTCTCCGGTTCTCCCTACTGGCCATCGCCAATTTACCACCCTCACCAGTCACGGTATCACCAGTCCACCACCACATCTCCAGTTTCTACGTTACATTTACCATTTTCCAACCACCACACTCACATTGTCAGTGTCACACAACACTATATACCTTGTGCAGGCTTATCCGTTTCCCATCACTATTTTCCCTTTACATAAAAACGACGACCCCCCTAATCTTCGATCTCTCTTTGACACTCAGAAGGCGTTGGAAGCGCTTCTTGGTATCTTGTTCGGCTTCAATCGCATCTCAGGTTCATCCACAAACCACTCCTTGATTTTGTTGAGTGCAGCTCGAACTCTTTGACACTCACTCTTTGACACTCAGAAGGCGTTGGAAGCGCTTCTTGGTATCCTTGTCACAAAGTCTTCCACAAAGTCCCTATTTTTCTCATAGCCTCTTTAACTTCTGTTGTTTGAATCCTTCTCACAAAGTCCCTATTTACCATACACTCTGGTATTGTAAGATCATCAATACCTTGGACTTTATTCCCGTTGAACAAGGTATCACAGTATGACCTCCACCTCTCTTTTATTTCTTCGTCGTCCATTAGTACCCTTTGATCGACATCCTTCACACACTTAACTTTTCCAATATCTTGAGTCCTACGGTCACGAAGGCGAGCAAGTCTGTAGATATCTTTTTCTCCTTCCTTAGAATCCAACTTCACATACAATTCCTTATTCACTTTTCCTTTGGCTTCCTTCACAGCTTTCTTTGCTCTTCTTCTAGCCTCTTTGTACTCCTCTATGTTCTCGTCGCTCCAACTTTTGCCCAATTTCTTATAGCATTTCCTTTTGGTCCTTATTGCTTGTTTCACCTCATCATTCCACCAAGATGTGTCCTTTTTTTGTGGCAGACATCCTTTAGATTCTCCGAGTATCTCCTTCACCACTTTATTAATGGTGGACTCCATTGATAACCACACATCATCCACGTGTGCGTCATTATCAATAGACCAAACATCTTCCTCCAACATTTTGTGTGCAAAACTTTGTTGGAGATTCCCCTCGAGCCTCCACCATTTTATCTTTGGCTCCCCTTGTACCTTAACTCGTCTCCTCATTTTACCTCGAAAATCAAGCACAAACATCCTATGCTGAGTGACAACACTCTCACCTGGGATAACCTTACAATCAGTGTAGCTAGTTCTCCAAGTCGTCCGTACTAAAAAGTAGTCAATTTGGGTACTATTAGCTCCACTTCTATAGGTGACAAGGTGAAAGTCATCTGGGGTGAAAATATTTTTTGAGGGGGTTCAAAATATTTTTTGGTAGGAAGAAAATTATTTTTCATATATATATATATACACTAAAAAAATTGTTGGGGGCGGTAGCCCCTGGGTCTTTACTACGGTCTGCCCATGTCTGAACATATATAACATTTTCATAAACTCTTTGGAATTTATATGTTTGTGTGTGTGATTGTGTGTGCTTGTGTATACATATCGTTTGGACTTCTTAGAGTAAATGTTTTGCAGTGTTTTTTGCTTTTGTGTTGTTTGGTAAGACTATCCACTTCGCTATGCTGTCATAGTATTTGTAAGACTGGGAATTTGTGTTATAGTCCTTGTTGAACTTATTTTTTTTATCATGGTATTTTGTTCCTTGAATTATTTCAAACACACTTACACACATATAATGTACATGTAGTTACCTGTTCATAGAGAAGTCAGTATGGGAATGTTACAGGGAATAAATAGGCCAGATTACACAAACAATATTGTATGGAGTATAAGTTTATGAATTAAAGGAATATTTTTATGCGTAAAATGGTTGTACTTCACACAAACAAAAACAAATCTAAAATTATATACAAAAAGTGTGATAATTAACAACTTCACTATTCTGTTTGCAACCCATGACAATTGCAAATTTGCTGTGGATACGGAGTATTTAACACTATCTTTTAATTACCTGGAAATTCGGAAATACGGAGTATTTAACACTATCTTTTAGTTTTATTTGTTATTTGATCTATGCATTTAAAGATTTGTTAAAAGTAGATTTACAATTCAAAGATATGATAAATTAGTTATTTTTAAATGGTTTTAAAACATTGTACTTCTTTGTTTTAATTTTTTATTGTATTTTTTACGCACAAATTTGTTTTTAGAGTACTCTTTATTTCAAATAGAAATTGCTCTAAATAGGACTATAACTTGGACAAAATGCACAAATAGGATTACATGTATTTTATTCCTGAAATAGGACTTATTTCAAGAGTGAATAAGTCCTAGTTTAGGAAGAAAACAATGATAGTCCTATATGTGTACTTTGTTCATGTTTTAGTCCTATATAAGGAATTTTCTCTTTGAAAAATATACATCAATCTTTTGCTATCGGTTAAAAGCCATTTTTTGTATCCAGGTTTCTGTACAACACCTGCAGAACTTTTGGAATTCAATTTTCATCGACGTGTTCTTTGGTTTAACTAGCATCAAGATATTTTCCATTGTTCCTTGTTTTATACATAAAATAAAATACATCGAGGAGGTCCTCGAAAGGTTTACAAAAAATAAGAGTACAATAGAGTCTTAGATGCATCTCTTTACATGCCATGAAGTACTTTTGTTAACTATTTCATTCTCTTACGCTAGCAGAAAGCCTTTAGCACGCCAGTTTTTTTTTGTTTTTGTAATTCAAAAGTCCACCTCACATTTTCTCTCTCATTTGTTTGAGATTTTAATGAACTCTTATTTTTTCTATTGAATACACACTAAACAAATTCATTTACTTTTAATTTTCACACTTGACACCATTTCAAGTACTATGTAAGAGATATATTTGATGGTAAAATTGCCACCACTATAGTTGTGACCCCAAAAGCTATCATCACAACTATCTTAAAAAAATTCGATTACTGCTAATTTGAACACTTATAGAAACTTCCAAGATTGACAACTTTGAACTATGTTGCTGAAGTCTCTAGCTATCAGGAAGAGGACTTATATAAGCGTACCTCCTACACTTCAGAAAACCTGCATTTTTGGTTGAGGTCCAGGTGTCCCAGCTCTCATGATCAATTGAGGCTTATTTATATATCGTACTTTGCATCGGTGCCAAACTGCCTGTCCAATACCTTCTGGAAATGTGTTGGGCTACCAAAAAACAACTGTTGTATTTTTCCTATATTTATTGGAAACGGAAAATCTAAATTTGATTCATCTATACATTTATAGTCATGTTCTCAATCTAATGTTCCTATATCCTTATTCCTGGACAATTCATTTGAGCAAACGTTTTATGTTTTGTGTTTTTCCAGATGATTTCATCACTATACTTTTTAATAAAGATAAAATCTTCCAGTGAAGCCACCTGGAATCCCAAAATAAAACCTTAAGACAAAATGCATGGAATATAGTAATTTCTTGGGCACTGCAATATTAACTGTTTTTGTCTCAAGATTTCTCAGAAACACAGTCTTGTACGAATGTACTTTATGTGGATGATTCCTTGGAAATTTATTCCGATTGAATATCCAGTCTTACCCTGCACCTGTTTTGGTGGCATCTTCCTCTAGAAGAAACTTTTTGCTATTATATTATATCATATTATATTATACTCCGTACTACGTAATAGATTTGATGCTTGAGAGAGTATATTTTCTTGGATTTATGCAGGGAGTATTGTTTTTTGGAAAATGGAAGACATCTTGACCGAAATACCCCCACCTTCTAGATTCTTCTTGGAAGATCTAAACAATTTTGCACCTCGTTCACCCCCTCTTCCATCTCCATTCCTCTTGTTTGCCACACCTAACCCTGAGAAATATTCTCACCCTTCACTATTGATAATTGGAATGTCTTTCCCCTCCACTCACTTCTTTCACCATGTCTCTTCCAAAACCTTAGTGGGAACACTTATCCTACCGGAGACACTATTATCCGGAAACTCAATCGTTCCCTCTCTCAAGGACAAATCCTGCAACATATATGCTTTACATCATGCTGATAAATTGGTCATGGTAGCTTCTGTCCAATATCCTATCAATGCAGAGAGATCTCATGCAGTGGCAAAGCTGCTTGTTGGGCAAAAGATCAAACCAGACCGGGTTTTGGTTTTGGATACGATTCAGAGTCGTAACTTTAGAGGTAAACTTCCACCAGACGAAACTCTTATGTTCAAGTTAGAGTCTTCATTGGAGCGAAAAGATTCAGAGTTGGTCAAGGGTTTAGACTATTTCCCATCAGGAAGTGTGGTGGACGGGCTGGCAGCTGCACTATTGGGCCGCTGTGAGATGGATAAAATAAGAGGAACAGTGTGGGTTTCCTGGCCAGAAACTGGTGGTCCTGTGACATTGGCTGTGAAATCTCATCTGCTCAAGAATTATTTACCAGGAATGGATCATACCAGTGCTGATAAGGGAAAGAGTGACTTTTCTTGGACTGGGCGTACTAAAGATTATCTTCTTGACTCTGATATGTACACATGATATTTAGTCTCTTAAAAGGAACAATTAAAATCTTATTCATATATTACCAATGTCTGGTCGGAGATGTTTAAGTCCAGTTTGTTTGGTATGTTATGTTTTTATGTTTGATTGGTCTAGTTTGTTCTGATCTGGTCTGTTTAAGTTTGGTCTAAATTGATTTGTTTTGGTTTGGTTTGGTAGATGTATGGTGTATGTGTGTTTTACAATTATCAAAATCTTGTCTGATTTGTTTATTCTGGTTATCTGGTATATATGGTCTGTTTTAGTCCAGTTTTGGATTGAAACCAGTCACGGAAAACTATCAAGTGAACAAGTTCTTATATTTCAGTAGTTGTCTTCATGTTACTCAACTTGCCAAAATTAAGCCTCTGTTTGCAAAGATGATATTTATATGTTTGGCACTTTGGCTAGTACCTTGAAGCTGGGCATGGACAATGGGTGATCATTGATTATGAATTTACAGTTAATTTGTACCTACTCTGTAATACATAACAAATGAAGTTTGAAAATGGGGTTTTGAACTCAAATATGTTTTCAACGATATATATAACGTTTGAAATAGAAGAATATACAGTAAGATATGATCAAATCAAATATTTAGAATGTTTTCAGTAATATAGCATTTTCAGAGTAAATAAGCATTTTTAGCGCAATTAGAGTATGTGATTCAAAATTCAGTACATAAGGTATCCATGCCATAATATTTTTAAAACGAAGCTTGAATATGAGTTTTAGAACTTAAAAAGATCTTTCCAATGGGAAACGAGATATGAAACGCCTCAAACGTAAAACAACACAAAAAGATATGATCATTTCAACGCTACACTGTTCGTAGTCTACACGGTCAGTTTTTTAATTTTTTTTAACATTTTTGACAAATACGTACCTATCCCATAACATTTTGCAAGTGAATTCTAAATAGAATCTTAAAAATCGATAGGATCTACTTAGCAATTTCAAGATAATAATAAATTACTTCTGCATAGAAATTGAGGAGATAAGAATCCAGGAGTAATGTGCATCTTACTTCGGGAATGTTTTTAATTTTTTTTGTACTTAGATACAAACAATTTAAGCATAGAAGGATCAAGAAATATTGTATTCTGTGAACTGCACTTTAAAGTTGGTCATTGATCATCCACTTTTTTAAGGTTAATCTACTCCATATTTTCCCATTTAACTATATATCCTATAAAATCTTCAGAAAATCATTGATTAGTAAGATGTTTCCTTATATTATCCATATAAATTAGATATGGAACGTATAGGAAAATATGTTATCTTCAATATTACTATACGTAGTTTTACTAGTTAGTTCATGCTTGAGAGAATAAATTGGGTAGACAGACATAAAATGTGAATTCATTCATATAAGTTTATAATTTGGTTATTATGAGTGTTTTAGACAAGCACCCGTAGTAAATCACATCTACAATTTGAAACTCATATATTATACTCCCTTAATTTTTTCCATAATGAAGTTATATGGTTCACTATATTAGACTTGGCGATAAGGATGTTTTACGAAGTCGCACAAACTTGAATCAAATTTGATAAAAAATTGATATAAAAAATAAGCGATTAAGAGAGATTTGTATTGACCGAGTGAATATGAACTAGGACCATCAAATTGGGACGAAGGTAGTATAAGTTTATAATTTGGTTATTATGAGTGTTTTAGACAAGCACTAGTAGTAAATAACATCTACAATTTGAAACTCATATATTATACTCCCTTATTTTTTTCCATAATGGAGTTATACGATGGAGTTATATGGTTCACTATATTAGACTTGGTGATAAGAATGTTTTTACTTAGACTGTTTTCAATCCCAGACCAAACCGGATCAGACTTAAATAGACCAAACCAGACCAAACGTAAACAAACCAGACCAGACGAGACTTAAACAAACCAGACCAGACTTGATTTCTGTAGTTATAAAATACACATAGACAAGACGTTTACCAGACCACACCAGATTTAATCAGATCAGACCAGACTAGCAAATTACAGTCCAAATAAAAACATTGTAAGTAAACTTTATCAGACCGACTTGCATGGAAATTAAGGAATTAAAAATTATGAGCTTGAATCTTTTAAAAGTTTCCTTGTGAAACCATATTGGTTCATCCAGCATAGCATATCTATTATAAGCTGATTTTTCTGCCTTAAATTTATAATTTTGTCCAGCCCAAAGGCCCAAAACAAAAATCTGAGTAAATAATACGGAGACGGAGACTTTGACATCGACGGCTAGAACTCGCCAAGGAAGAAGCAACTTAGAAACGCCGACACGCCTGATTCGCAGACCGGGGACCGCCTACCGGCTACCGCCGACGCTTGGCAGCCTGCCGCCCTGCCCCTTCTCGCCCTTGTCTGAAATCGGAATCTCAGCTTGACGGCTTCTCAGTCCAGGCGTCCAGCTGCAGCACACAGCGCTCAGCCACTCAGGGTCTCAGGCTTCAGGTACTCCTCCCGACCTGGATACCTCCCATCCTCCGGCCATTATTTCACAGTTTTATACTTTTTCTTTTATTGATTAATTGATTAATATGATTATATGATTAATGTATTAATTGATTTCATTCATATTTGCTTAATGTTTATAAATGATTATGAATAGTTGACTAATAATTAGTTGATTTTTTTTTTCTGTTGAGTGTTAATAAATGTTTAGTTAATATTTTTAATTGTTGATTGGTATCTATTGAGTGTTGGTGTTAGAATTTGTTGATTTTGGTTAGGTAAAATCAAACATACTTGTGAGCGGGAAATGTTCACAAAGGTTCACATTTCACAATCAGCTTACTAGCATCTATTATAATGCTGACATTCTTTGTTAAAATGTTGGTGTTAAAATCAAACATACTTGTGAGCAGGAGATGTTCACAAGGGTTTAGTTCATATTTTTAATTGTTGATTTTATATATGATGTTCTATTCTTTGTGACTGGACTGGCTCTGATAATAGAAAGTTTTTTGCAAAACCCTAGAAAAACAGTTCGCCGCGAAGAAAAATAGTTCCGACGATGGCAATGTATATGAGACGGGCACTATTGTCGTATCGTACAGTATCAATCATCTTCCGTTCCACAACTTCTCAGACACACCAGCTCTGTTCCGTGGTTGATGGCACTTCTGCTAACCTCCTCTGCTGCTCTGCCACCTCAGGCGTCATCCCTTACTTTCCAGCAGTGGCTCATCTACTCGGAATCTCAAGAGGCTTCGCCAAAGGAAGAAATACTTTGAGTACTGAGTCTTCTTATCATTTCTTTGTTTTGCTACCATGAAATTTAACTACATCACCTAATGAGATCACTGTTTTCTTTTGTTCTTTTCTGCAATTCTAGAGGAAGAGATAAACACTGAAGAGAGCACTGCAGGATTTATTAATGTTGGTCCATCAATTAAGGCTACTGCGATCTCACAGATGGAGGCAGCAATAGAGGCATTGTCTCGAGAATTGACCAAATTGCGAACTGGACGAGCATCAATTGGTACGAACACAATTTCTGGCACTGTTAACTTTTTTTTTTTAATTTTTTTTCCTGTTGTTGTTAACTTTTAGAAATTGTTTTCTCTTAATCTGTATTGTCTATAATTTCATTTGAACTTGCAGGAATGCTTGATCATATTGTAGTGGAAAGTGGAGGGGTAACAATGCCTTTTAGTAGGATGGCTGCAGTTTCAGCCTTGGATGCAAAAACTCTGTCTGTTACTCCTTATGATCCAAATGTAATACTCTGTATTTTGCAACCTATTGTGATATATTTCTATTTTTATTTCCTTTGGATATTCCGTGATATGGATTTCAAGTTGAATCTTTTCATATGAAACTTCATGGCATTGTGATACATCGAATGGTTATTGGTCTTTTGCAGACCTTAAAAGATTTGGAGAAAGCTATCATTTCTTCTCCATTGGGATTAAATCCCAAGGTGGAGAATGAGAGGTTACTTGTTCCTATACCTCCGTAAGTACATTTCTCTCTAAAGTCTAAAGTCATTTTTTTTGGTTATTGGCCAAGTCGAGTCTAAATTTATGTTTCATGATATATTTTATGATATTACATCATCAAACTTGTAAATAACGTGACAATAGTAACCATCTCAAATAAAATGATGTTTGATAATATTTGAAAAAAGTTTTAGAATTGGCATTGTAATTTTCAATGTTAACTATTTGTAGACAATAGATCAGCCAGATAGGGTTAAGGCGGTGATGATCAAGATCGAGTCTACATAATTCCAATCTTTGAACGATGCATGAAAGATATTATGCTTTTTCTAATCGACATTCTTTTATCATTAGGAAAGAACATATTCACTGATTCAAGAAAATGAACTGATATTGTTGTCTGTTTCCTTATTTTTTTGACATATTACTATATTATTTTCCTAACAATGATTTTGGTGTTCTATTTCTCTTTCTTGAATTATCAGGCTGACAAAAGAACATATGCAGGTAGATGTCAATCAACTTTATTTCTTTTGATCTCATTTTCTCATTTGGACTTACTGTTCTAGTACCTCTGCTTATTCCTGAATTTTTCCCCAGGCTGTGTGCAAGGTAGTAGCTAAATCATCCGAAGATGTTAAACAGAGTGTAAGAAGAGCCCGCCAGAAGGTATGCCTTCTAAGCAATGCTAATTGATTTCCTCTCAAATCGTTCTAATTTGTTCCTCCGTATTTGTCAATTTTCAAGAAGTGTGTATAAATTATATGCTTCACATTTTTTCTTGAAAACGCCTAAGCTTTCTGCGTGCCCCCTTTTAGGCACTGGACACTTTAAAGAAATACACACCCAAAAAGAAGGACAAAGACAAGTCAGGCTCAACTTTCTCAGTAGATGATGCAAAAAGATTGGAAAAGGAAGTAAGTCCCTTCCAATATAATTTAGACTTTACCGTACTATTGTATCAATTGGGTTAGTCGAAATGATGGGCTGTCATTGATGACATGGTTTATGTTGTCACAAAACATAAAGCACGTTACTGATGGCAGTATGTATTTTTTGGCCGTGCTTTCAGATCGATGACTTGACTAAGAAGTTTATAAAGACAGCAGAAGATATGTGTAAAGCAAAGGAAAAGGAAATTAGCAGTGGCTGAACCTAAAGAAAGTTTTTGGACATGAAACCAAAGATTGTATTGTTAGTTGGAACTATTGTTCCCAGCTCAGGAAATCACTGTCACAATTAGGACCATCTCATTATTTTTTGAGGCCCCAGCGCTAACCAATGCACAGAGGTTCCTTTCCAACATTTAATTGAAAAGCCAATGGGGGCAAAACTCCAATTGTAAATCTTTAAGTTGATTTAAAGGGAGTGATCTCATGTTCTAATCTCCAAGATGCATGTCTAATGCTTACGGTTATGCTGTTATGCAAAATTGAACAGAAACTGAACTCACACGAGTGCAGCAAAAAAATTGGGCAACAAAAACGGTGCAGCAAAAAAAAAAAACAAGAAAGAGCAGCGAACAGAACTCATATGATCATATCTAGAGCCCGTTTGGTAACATTGAAATCGGCTGATTCTGTTGAAATTTATGAAGTTTTGGTTGAAGTGACTGTGTTGGTTGATTTTGCTGATTTCTAAAAAAATTATATTTAAAATATATTTTATTAATGAAATAAGGAAAAAAATATATGAAAAAATAGCTAAAATTGTCATCTACAGTAACTTCTGCCTATATAGTCAGAAAAGTAACTCCAACCTTACTTTTTCTTATTATTACACAAATTCAACGCGTGAAATCAAAAGTTACGTGTTTGGTTATAAAGTTGGCTGATAAACCTGATAAGTCGAAAAACAGAGTATCAAACGGGTTCCTAATAAACAATTAAATTATTGCAACAAAAAATAGTGCAGTAAACTGAACTCATATCTTGTACTTCTCCAAAACACATGTTCTTAATTCCGGAAGTAGAATAATGCCACAAACAGTTCATCAAGTTCATACCAAATATCTATATAATAAAAAGGCCATAAATGTACTTGAAATATCTATATAAAAAGATGCAAAGAATGAAATACATTTGTCTTTGACATGAAACAAGTAATAAGTTACTCATCTTAATATATAAGCAGTACAATTAAACATAATGCAATTATCCAAAAAAAACTTACAGACTCTTCTCTTGTTTTTCATGCAATCTAATGGGCTTGACTTTTCATGTTCTTCTTTTTCTCCCCGTTAATCAGAGAAACTTGCTTCATGTTGTAAGTCTTTCCTTTTTTTTCCTTTAGTATTTGGACTTTAGGTTGTTTACACCTCTAGTTGTGACTTTCTTCATAACAATTGCTACACTTGTAGCACTTTCCTGTTTTTGCATCTTAGACCTACATGCAGTTCTTTTCTTCAAACAAGGAAGGTATATTGGTGGGCTAGATAACTTTGGCCACTCTTGAGCACCATATAGATGCTCTACTGTGCAATTATAAGCTTGTAGGTTCTGATATTTGTGAAACCAGTGAGTCACATAGTGCTCTGGATATTCACCTGTGGACCAAATGGCAGTGATCACAAGATGGCAGGGAACACCACTCAACTGCCTAGCCTTGCAACTACAAGTTTTGCTTAAAATGCCAACAACAAACTTTTCTTGTCCCAACAAACAGTTCATCAAACTTTTCTTTTATCACCATCTTTTCTAGTCCCCATCCCACTTTAGTGTCCATCCTCTTGTTTTTAACTTGGCATTCTCAAGCTTCAACTGTATTCTTGGGCATGAGATTCCCCCCCCTAATTGTATCCCTGTTCGGGTGCAACCTTTCCATCATTAGCTCCCTTATTTCCTCAAGCATCATAATAATAGGCATGTGTCTACTGGAGAGTATGAAAGAATTAAAAAACTTCGCAAACATTGTTGTATACATTCACAAGTTTCATTCTTGTGCTATTATACCAATAGAGTTCTAAGTTTTTCAATGCGGTCATCAAACACATTATGGGTGGTTGCCTTTGCTATCTTCCAAAATTCTTATCTAAATTGTTGACAACCCCCAAAAATTGCTCTAAACTGGGTATAAACATGCCTAGCAAAATATCGTTTCTCAGCACTTGAAAACACATTACCAATAGTATTTAACAATCCTTTTGTTGGTCAGACATAATGGTATAACCAATTTCGGACTCAATATTACAATCTTGTGCTATTATACCAACCACAACTCAAGTTATCGGATACATCTAGTCATTCCGATCCCTCCCAACTGCTGCTAGGAATTGCCCCCCAAAAGACCCTTTAAAAATACTATCAAGTGAAATGAATGGCCTACAACCCCCCAAAAATCCTTTCTCGAGTGCTTCATAGCAAATATATATCCTTTGAAATGTGTCATTAACACACTTTATTAAGTTTTGCTCTGAAAGTTTCAGCAACGTATTTATTTAGCAGCATATATTGTTCTTTGTATTGACCTATAAGCATGAGTGTAATGGAATTTACAGATTACCAATGGACTATAACCCTTGATTTAGTAATAGCCCAAAAGTTAATTCATTTCCTTCATTGCCATGATGTATAAGCATGAGTGGTGTTGGTGATTTTAGTATCAGCATGTTCATTTTAGTGTAATGGAATTTACAGATTACCAATGGAGTTCAAGTTTAATTTTAGACAAGTTAGAAGGTGCGGAGCGCACACTTGTACGAAATTAAATTTAAACTTGGTTCGATTAAATGGCGGGGGTCAAGGGGGCTGCGCCCCCTTGCGGGGTCCAAGGGGCAGCGCCCCTGGCGTGGTCCAAGGGGCAGCGCCCCGGACCAAAATTTTATTTTATTAAAGAAATAAATATGGAAATTTATTTTCGTATAAACATGTCCATATTAATTATTTAATAGAATGACTTTCTGTTAGAGTAAAACTCTAACCGATTGGCCTTATCTCTTTGGTAATCAGAAGAATTCGAGTTCTACTAAAACTGCTAGTTCGTGGTCTATATATTGGTGCCTCAGTTTTAGATTGTCTCTCAGAGTGATTATCCCCATAATCTAAATTTCGTGTAACCAATGCATAGGGTCGAAATATTAGATTCGGAAAGTGATCACACGATACTCTGAGAAATCCGCCAGATTTTCTAAAACAGTTTTCCAACTCCCCAGAATTAACAAGTGGTTTGTGATTAACACTCATTTCACTGCAGTTATGCAAAATACAAAAAAGTAATACTACAGCTAACATAAAAATCACAATTACACAAAGGAAGGATTATAGACCGAAGACTTTGATATGAATAGGTCGATGTTGGTCTCCAATATAATAGCTAGGATTCCCTCTTAGTAATATCGTAGCATCCCAAGAAAATTCCCTAATTTTGGAGGAGAAGAGTTTGCTCAATGTGAAGCCAAAACAAATTTGCCGTATGTATGACGTTTTAATGCCAAAAATCTTAAGACTTTCTTTGGTCTGGTCAGACCAGACCAGACCAAAACAGACCAGATCAGACCAGATCATATTTTATTATTATTATTATTATTATTATTATTATTATTATTATTATTATTATTATTATTATTATTATTATTATTATTATTATTATTATTATTATTATTATTATTATTATTATTATTATTAGGGATGTGCACCGGTTTAAAACTATATCAGTTCCAAAAGCAAAATTTAAAGTTCAATCCCTACTTTTATTTTTAACTCCTAGAACATTACAAGTTTTACAGTTTTCTGAAACAATTTCACAATCTTGAATAGTATTGTTATTCATTTTGTATTATTTTACGAATAAAAATTTAGAACTGTTCAGAGTTGGGTACCGTGTCGTTTTTTTAATTTAAAACAAGATTTGAAAACTAGAAAAAGTGGTTTCTAGTTTACATTTACACGATTGGTATATTTTTGGTAATACTTTAAGGAAACTGCAATTATTATATTCAATTGTACACTAATTAATGAGCCTATCATAAATTATTTCATAATATATGCAAATTTTCAAGAGTTTTTTGTATTATCAACTCATACCAACTATATTTGGGGATATTTAGATCCGTTTGGTAACACTAAAATTGGCTGAAATGACTGATTTTGCTGAAATTTATGAAGTTCTGGCTGAAGTGACTGTATTGGCTAATTCTGTTGATTTATGAAAAAATTATATTTAAAATATTTGTTATCAATAAATTAAATAAAAAATTATATGAAAAATAGCTAAAATGATCCTCTACGGTATCTTCAGCCAAAACAGCCAGAAAAGTAACTCCAACCTTATTTTTTCTGCTTATTACAAACTTCAACGCGCGAAATCAAAAATTACGTGTTTGGTGAAAAAGCTGGCTGATAAGACTGATAAGCAGAAAAAGGGGTCACCAAACAGGCTCTTAATGGTCAAAATTAACAAACTTTAACCTAAAAAATCAAAATAAACAGAAGATTTTTTTTTAATCTTTGAATGGCTTAAAAAATTCAAAATAATGGGATTGGTAAGGAGTCAATGGTAATGCGGTTCAAACTCATTAAGAGCATCTCCAATGCAAATGTGTGACGGTGCACACGTCGCAGGAGAATATATATACACAAAAGAATTAATTAATCAAAAATCTCTCTTCATCTTTCCACAACATAATAAATTTTAGTTAGTTTTTTTCTTTTTTTTTCGGATTAAAACCACACTAGGTGGGGGGTGCTGGGGAACACCTCCCTAATTTATTAAAATATAGTTAAGGGTACATGCGATGTAATTTGAAAGTACACAACAAAAAAAGGGGAAAGAAGAATAAAATTACATCAGCAGTTGAATTTTTTTGTAGGAATTCCAATTGCCGCAAAGATTGATCTGTTGTATCTATTATGGAACTTGATTGCCTCTTGAAGATAGGGTTGGTAGAAAGTTCTCTCTGGATGATACTTTTTATAACGCTTCAGAGCATCTGTGAGTTTATGGGGGGAGTCAAACCTCACGTCGAGCGGGTAGAGAAAGTAATCTGTGTCATCTTGGGGGTTTTTTTGATTGGCTTCTGGTGATCATTGGATGTGAAGTATACCCCGCTTGGTAGTATTGTTGTTCATCCTCTTTGACTTCATTTGCAGGTGTTTTTGAGATTGTGTTTCTTCTATTTCGTCGTTTGACTTGGGTAAATCCATCAATGACTTCCTCTTCAGTTGTTTGATGACCTGAAACTAAAAGGGATAGCGATTGACTGTCCTCAGAGAAAGTTTCATCACCGGACAGTTGTGATGCAAGCGTAGTAACTGTATTCTCAAGTGTAGGATCTGAGAGGATCTCATCATTTAATGTTCGGTCCTCAAAGGAAACATCAGTAACAGAGTGATGAACACCCACGGTTACCGCCACAGTATGGGTAGCCACCTGGGGTTCATCCTTATCAAG